GTCTCTGCTTTCTGGTGTTGGGTGGTAACAGGATGTGAGGGGATGGCTTAAAGCTGCATCAGGGGAAGTTCACATTGGATATTAGGAAAATGTTGTTCACTGAGAGGGTGAGCAAACTCGGCAGGGAAGTGGTCATGGCCCCAATCCCATCTGTGTTCAAGAAGCGTTTGGACAATGCTCTTAGATCTGTGGTTTAACTTTTAAGTTGTCCTGTATGGAGTCAGGAGTTGGACTTGATGATCCTTGTGGATCCCTTCCAACTCAGGATATTCTGTGATGTACAAACAAAGCTTTTATATGTATTTTTTTATATATATATATATATATATATGGTAGGTTTTAGGACCTGATGTGTGTTTCAGAATCAATCTGATAATAGTCCTGGGATTGCAGAGTAGCAAGTTTGTGTGGTTAGGGGTATTTTCGTAGAAATCAGCAATCTTCTTGACAGATAAGTAAGCAAGCTTGAATGTGGATGTTATTTCAAATAGCATTCCCACAACTTCCCTCCCACCTCATTTTACACATTGCAAAACTCATAAAATATCTTGGGCTTCATGTGGTTTTCTTTGGAGCTGATTGATACTTCAAAATTGTAAACAAATTATTATGTGAGATATTTACTGGAATGTATATTGTTGTGTTGTCTTTCTTCAAAATCTTATTTTTCTGCCCCGACTAAACTCAAGGATAGTTTGGGCTTCAAAATGGACAGTATCAGATTATTACTATTTTTTTTTTCCTCTTTACAGCATTAAATGTGTTTATCCTGTAAATCATAGGTGCGCTGCATGTTTTAATTAAAATAGGCAAATCAAAGTGACTCTTGGATGGCAAATTTTTAGTCTATGTTGGGAGTAACCTGTGAGTAGTCTAGTGTCTTTTTTTAAAGTGTCACTTTGTAAATCTGTTGTCTTAAGGTATAAATGGATCACTGAATGGGAACAGTACCACTGCAGTATCTGGTATCAGCACATCTGTACTATCCACTAGCATTGCAACATCTGCAGGACAAGTGAAAGCTATAACGTCAGGAGCAGGAGGCCGCAAATACAACCAGGAGCAAAGCAAAGTTCAGCTTTTGGACACCAGAGCTGACAAAATCAAAGATAAGGTAAATATACAGAAAAAACCCTTAACATTCAGACAAAAAATTGACAAGGTAAGTGTTCTGATTGTGCACACAGCAGCATTTTAAAGTGTTCTCTCCAGTACAAAATGTTTTGGGTTTTTCTTATTTATTAGAGCAAGATCTGTACCCATGTTTCTGTGGGTGGTTGTATTTTTTTTTTTTTTTCCTTTTGTTTGTTTGGTTTTTGGCATGTTTATGAACCAAAAGCTACCATTAGCACCAATTCCACTAGTTAATAGCTGTATGCGATAACATAATTTAATTTATATAGTTATAAAAATAAAGTATGTTTTTTAACACCAATATTTGATATTATTTTACTAGAGTATAAATATTTGTATTATAGATCAAAACCTATAAGTTATATCTATTAATTTAATTATGCTTTTTTGTAACTTAAAATATAAAAAATTTCAGAAGCAAAATGAAATTTTTAAACATTAAAAGAAAAATGCTTTTCTGGGAGTTATTTCCTATTTATCAGAAGAAGTATTATTAATGGTTGTGGTTCAGCAAAAGACTTAGGCAGCCATCTAATACGAAAGACATGAGTAGTCTCAGTGAGTTAGTAAACCTCCTTATGTACTGACCCAAGCACTCCTTAAGAACTTTACTACTCTTGGAATCAAAACTACTTAGTCAAAACACAGGAAATGGGCTACTGGGAAATTGATTACCGTCAGAATAGAAGCTAAGGGAGTCATTCCCTACTGGCAGCCATCTAGGCTAAAATTGTTTTATTTCTTGATATTTATTTATATTTTTGTTTTGTGAGTGAATTGGGCCTGTTGCTTTCATTCTGTTACTGCATTGCATTCAGCTCCCAAATCTGAGTGTTCTTAGGTGAGAGGTTGGCATTTTCAAAGGACACTTGGTGTTTGCGTGTGTCTGCATAAAAATAGTTGTTAGCACTAAAATGGTTAATTTTATCTGTATAGTGATATGGTGTTTAATATATAGACAATAGGGAAATATTAATATATTGAAGAACATTTTCCCTCAAAACATTCTTCATGTGTTCAATGATCAACAACTTTTGAAGGTATTAAGGTAGTTACAGGTATTGGGGAAATCTTTGACTTTTTTCAGGCTTAAATACTAGAAATGGCTCTTCCCTTTCTAAAATTCTGCTTTTATCCTGGATATAATATATATGTGTATATATATATATGCCGGTCTTCACTGGCAAGTGCTCGAGCCTCACTGCCCAAGCCGCAGAAGGCAAAGGCAGGGACTGGGAGAATGAAGAGCCACCCAGTGTGGGAGAACATTAGGTTCGAGACCATCTGAGGCACCTGAAGGTGCACAAATCCATGGGATCTGGTGAGATCCCTCCGTGGGTCCTGAAGGAACTGGCGGATGAAGTTGCTAAGCCACGCTCCATCATATTTGAGAAGTCGTGGCAGTGCAGTGAAGTTCCCACTGACTGGAAAAGGGGAAACATTTTTAAGAATGTTAACCCCCATTTTTAAGAAGGGGAAAAAAGGAAGACTCAGGGAACTACAGGCCAGTCAGTCTCACCTCTGTGCCCGGGAAGATCATGGAACAGAGCCTCCTGGAAGCTCTGCTAAGGCACAGGGAGGACAGGGAGGTTGTTCGAGACAGCCAGCATGGCTTCACCAAGGGCAAGTCCTGCCTGACTAACCTAGTGGCCTTCTATGATGGAGCGACTACATCAGTGGATGCGGGAAGGGCTACAGATGTTACCTATATGGACCTCTGTAAGGCCTTTGACACGGTTCCCCACAACATCCTTCTCTCTCTAAACTGGAGAGGTATGGATTTGATGGGTGGACTGTCTGGTAGGTGAGGAGTTGGTTGGATGGTTGCATCCAGAGGGTGGTGGTCAACAGCTCAATGTCCAGATGGAGGTTGGTGACGAATGGCGTCCCGCAGGGATCCGTATTGGGACCGGTACTGTCTAATATCTTCATCAATGACAGGCACGGTGGGATCGAGTGCACCCTCAGCAAGTTTGCAGATGCCACCAAGCTGAGTGGTGCGGTCGACACGCCAGAGGGATGGGATGCCACCCAGAGGGACCTGGACAAGCTCGAGAAGC